CTTTCAGCTTATCAATTCTGCTGAAAAAAACATTGGGGTTGATTTACTAATTGTAAGTAGACCATGCACTTTGTAAGTGCAATTGCACCAGAGCTTAGTAAATGAGGGGAAGCTCTTCTGACTTCCATTATCCAATCATGTGCAAGCAAAAATGCCTTTCTTTTATTTTCCTTGCATGTGATTGGTTATTCTTTGTAAAATGAAGTTTTTCCTCTTATACTAAGCTCTGGAGCAATTGCTCTTACAACGTGCACAGTCTATTTACCTTTAGTAAATCAGCCCCATTGTTTACAGATATTGACAGCTCTATAACTGGCTCAGAGAATGAGTTAAAGCAGTGACTTGCTCCAACTACTCTTTCTCCCGCTCTATCTGCATTTTAAGACAGCTACATACACTTTTCAATTTGACAGAGTCTGAAAGTAAACAGTTCCTGCTGTGAATTCTCTTTAGAAAATCCATAGGTTTGATTTAAATCTATGCTATGTATTTTATTGCACATTGACATTCCTTGGTAACATGAGTTCTACATGTGTTTTGGGGGAATCGCATTCATTTCTGATGGGCCACAAAAATAAATGCATTAAACACCTCACCAGAATCTTCGAGACACTACACTACATAGATGTAAATACATATACCTTGTAGTGCACTGCATTGCCTAAAAAATGGGTCAGGTACATTTTAGTGTGTTGAACCTCACTGAGCACCCATAGTAAATGAATGGATAGGTGGACCACAATGCACCCTAAATGTGGACACATAGATGTAATGTTCTGTGAATCCAGTGTCCGGTGTACAACCTACATTATATATTTACTTGTAAAACAAACATATTTTTGTAATTTTTTTTTTTAATTTAAACTGAATATTTATAATTAACCCAAAACCATTTCAAATAGTATCTTACTAACAGTTTCTACTGTTACAACTTCTACTCTCTCTTAACACTGAATGTAATACAATTTATATTTGTTCATGAACACAGTGATGCTCACAGTGAAGGAAATGGATAGTAAAACAAAGTCTAAATTTTATAAATAACTGATAAAATACAGAATTTAAAACTAAACGCTGTATGGCAATTAGTATTTACCTTCATATATTTTTTCTTTCAAGGCAAATGTTTTAGCCTATATCAATATATAAACCAGTCTGTGCTACAGAGTTTGCAAATTTTTTGTCACATTCTCTCATTATAGCTTTACCTAAGGATGGGCACAACAACAGGCCTGCAGCCTGTACATGAAACTGTGCAGGTAGTTCAATATTATACTAAATATATTTTTTTTTTCATAGGAACTTTTCTTCAAATATATTTAAGACAAATACTGAGTTCTTGGTAGTTTTTGTTTATATCGGCATAGTAGAATCTGACTATAAATTCCTTTTATATAAAGATATTTTGAATTGTGATTTAAAATTATATTATGAATGAGAACCCTTTTCATTACTACTAGTAAAATAAAAAATCTTTAGAAGCAACTTACATTTATCATAGAAACCCATTCAACATATATTAATAAGAATTGCAAATGTTCAGTGGAAAATGTCATTAACTCAAAGAGAGAGAAATCGGAAGGGACAAAATAGAGTAAATTAAATATCTAGGATCAGAAAGGTACTCCCTGTTCCTGAAGAGGAAACTGGAACCTATTAGATGAGCTTGAAGTGCTAATATAGATTCTACAAATAGAGTGTCTTGAGTAAGGAGAACTTAGAATAGAAGAGTAATTGGCAACGAGGACTCCTTGGAGTTCTTGTATTGATTTAAATCTTTGTGGCAGGTAAAATACACAGAACATACAGTATCATTGTGATTAGGGAAATATTTCAGTAAAGTCATTTACTGTATAGAATGAACACCTTTATATTCTACTGAAAATAGTGATGAGAACAACATGACATCAAATGTTAAAGTATTTTTTAATTCAACATGACAGAATTTTAAAGGAATCCTGACAGATTCTGTCCTAGCTGAAGCTTATGTTCTAGAAGTTATACTTTTGTCCCTCCTGGGCCAGTGCTATGTGCAGGCACCTAGGCAGCATAAACCACAGGCATGTGCCTACTCTGGGGTCAGAAGATGGCAGCTTGTACCGCTTAAAATAGACATTACAGATGCCATGTAAGGAATACTTTAATAATTTTTCCGCATTTATATTTGCTGGTTGTCTCTTTTTTTTTTTTTAAATCACCTTTGTATTTTTAAATTTGCTATTATTTGGACAGTGCACCAGATAGTAAGCTCTCTCAGAGCATGTACCCAGTACAGCCATAATTCTCTCTAGCTATTTGAAGTATGTAGTGACATAACTTATTTAAATTTTTTACTTATTTTTACATTATTTTGTAAACTGGTATTGCACCATATTGGTATTTTAATACAAGACCTTTAAACAGCTAGCACTTGTGAAATGTATTGAGTATATGTGTTTTAAACCCCATAAAAAGCAGATTTATAGAATGTGCACGCTATTTTATTTAATCTGGTAATTGATTTTATTTCCTACCTAAGTCAAAGGCATGCAAAAATGATGCCACAAAAACACTTAGCAATCCAAGTGTATCAATTTAGGTAAACATATAAAATACTGATACCTGTGTAGCTGTTTGAGCTGTTTACTCACTGTACTAATCTGCTGCATGATAGTATGATAGTACGAGAGGAACCAAGCTCAGTGTAAATATCATCTGTAATCACATCCATCCAGCCACATCCAGACCAACTGTACTGATATAAACTAAACGATTAAAAATGCATTGAATTATGTATATAAAATATACCTCTCAAATCTATTTACACTGCATCCAGAAAGTATTCACAGCACTTAACTTTTGCCACATTTTGTTATGTTACAGCCTTACTCCAAAACGGAATAAATTAATTTTTTCCCTCAACATTCTACAAACAATACCCCATAATGACAACGTGAAAAAAGTTCCTTTTTAAATCTTTGCAATTTATTAAAAATAAAAAATGAAAAAAAACGCATGTACATAAGTATTCACAGCCTTTGCTCAATACTTTGTTGAAGCACCTTTTGCAGCAATTACAGCCTCAAGTCATTTTGAGTATGATGCTACAAGCTTGGCACACCTATATTTGTGCAATTTCTCCCAGTACCTCTCAAACTCCAACTGGTTGGATGGGGAGCATCAGCGCACAGCCATTTTCAGATCTCTCCAAAAATGTTCAATTGAATTCAAGTCTGGGCTCTGGCTGGGCCATTCCAGGACATTCACAGAGTTGGCCCGTAGAAATTTCTTTGTTATGTGGGCTGTGTGCTTAGGGTCATGTCCTGTTGAAAGATGAACCGTCGCCTCAGTCTAAGGTCCAGAGCACTCTGGAACAGATTTTCATCAAGGATGTCTCTGTACATTGCTGCATTCATCTTTCCTTTGATCCTGACTAGTCTCCCAGTTCCTGTCACTGAAAAACATACAGTACCTTTTCAGTACAATACATTCTATTGTTCATATTTTGATCAGCATCTGCAGATCTTATGCAAGGAATGACATCAAACCAAAAAGAAAATCAGACCAAGAACTGAGGTGAAGAACAAGACTAGGGCCTACTCTAAATTCTGTTAAGGCCAGAAAGTAGAAATTGGTCATCAACTGATAGACCAACATGTTCAGAGGAGAGAACAGCATCCTTTTTAATTTTTTGGATTACAATCCAAAAAAACCCAAGTGATGGTGAGACTTATATTGAACACAGAGATAAAGAGAATGTGTGTGTCATGGGGAAAAGCAAAACAAGTGGGGGAATAAACAGACACACTTGGGCTGAATTACTAAAATAGGTGGACATTTTCATTCAATAAGTTATGAAATTATTATCTTCAACCTCCCATCATGCGCAGATAAAATTGTGTGAAGATGCTCAACTCCTTTAGTAAATCAGCCTCATTGCCTGTAGGTGTAGGGCCCAGCCATATCACCCCCTCAAGAGCTACTGAACACTGCTTCATCTGGGATGTATCACATTTGTTTTACCTCACTAGAATGCAAGTTTGGATGTACTGAATAACCCTTTTCTTTCTACCTGTATGCACTGGGCCTGCAGCATCTTGTAATTGTTGGCCTACCATTTTAATTTAGATGTAATATGTTTTAATATGTTTTTTCCTTTACTTAAGTAGTTATCCCATGTAGCTGAAGACTGGGCCAAAGCACAAAAGTAGATCAACAAAACTCACACACGCACACACACGCACACACACATAAAAAACAAAAAACTATTATAATTACCATGACAGCTTGTGGTCTTTGGTGAACTTTTGCTTTCCATCTGGTCTTGTCTTTTGTAAAGTTATTGTTCAGCATTACATCATGGCTGTCCTTCAATTCCTGGATGTCATCTATCCACCATGTTCTTCTTTTCATTTTTTCTTTCTTTATTTTGATCTCTTCAACAGTCAAGTTTCTTGTGCTAAATGTCCATGTCCATGCAGCTGATTTTTAAGATCCATCTCTAGCACCACAGTTAAAAACTTATGATTTTTTTTACTGGGGTTGATTTACTAAAAACAAATAAGCTGTTAACTTTGCAAGAGAATGTTCATTTTGTACCGAATATACTGGAAATTCACTTTGTAAAGAATGCCCAATTAAGCAAGGAAAATGTAAAAAAATTACACTTACTGAAGTCAGCAGAGCTTCACTTTGTTTGCAAAACTAAGAGAAAATCTCCTTGCAAAGTGAAAATTCCCTTGCAAAGTGAGCATCGTAGTTGTCTTTAGTAAATAAACCCCATTGTGAGGGAAAATTTTTTTACGCCATACCTTGGAATAGACCACACTTGTGTTTGTAACAGTTTTTTTATTCATGCTAGGAGGAGATTGTTCCTCATCACCTTTTTTGTGTCTCCAGAATCTTGGTTTGGTCTTGTCAATTACAGATCTGCAGTCAGCATCCCATTTCAGATTTCCCATTGACTCATATCCTGAGGATATTAGAAATTGCTTACTTGCTCTGTTAAATGTTAAAAAAACATTAACAAAATTCAAAATAATACAACTGTAATTTGCTTGCAAATAGACCTCCTGCTGATGAAGTTAACTATACTGCCTTTATCTATCTACTTGTTAGTATTAGTAATTTGAGGAGGGAGGTGTTCTTTTTGTATAGGATTTGAATGAGGAGTGGGGTAGGTTCACAGTTACTTATTGTGCTGACTGATGTGACAGGAGCTGCTTTATTATTATATTATTACTGCCTTAATTGAATGTTCAAAAACACCACCAGCATTACCAAAACAGATACTGGTGATAATACCATATCATAAATCAAATCAAAATGCACATTCTTAATATTGCTAAGACCGTACCATGTTTAATAAACGTCATTATTGGACAATATAAGCATCATTTGAGTGCCTGATATCTGCAAGGATAAAATCTCTAAAAAGAGATAAATTGTAGTAAATTGTATTTTGCTCCTTATTATTACAGTGTATTTAACTAAGAATATTAATCACTGTCCAAAGTACATAGTGCTGGCAAATATGTGCTAGAGATTAACACTGAGTTTTTCTGTTCTGTAGCCAGTTTGTAATTGTCTAAGCTGCCAGTTCCTACTGTCCAAAGATTTAATGCTACATGAAGCACTTAGGGATGATGAAACTGTGAATAGCTGAGAGGCCAAATGCACTAACAGTGTGTGTACTGTAAACATTGTAACACAATGGGACCTAAATGTTTGAAGCTTCTGCACAGTGAGATTAGATACATGGTACACAATACAACATGACATATAAGGGATGTCACTTTGTAATCAGTCAGGCTTTTTGACCACTGAAGAAACTGCAAATGTTTGCAGAAATATATTGGATGCTGTCTAGTATAAATATGTAATATAAAAAAGTTATGCTGATCAGTCCTATGCAGGCATATGTATTTTGTAAGAAGTGCGTTAATAGCTGCCTATCAGAATTTATATTCCAGGGGACTGTCTAGATATAAAAAAAAGTGTCATTGGAATATTTAGGTTTCTGCAATGTAGAGCTTTCCTAAAGAGAATATTGCTTTATTGGTTTAAAAAATGACAATAGCATTTTTATTACAGTATATGCAGAAAGACAAAAAGAGGTCACACCTGCCTAGTGCATTAATCATGACACTATTTATTTGAAAGATAAAAATTGGGCAATTATAATCTCAAACAGAAAAATGAAAGGGCTCATTACAAATAGCTAGGAAAAAAACAACCAGAAGTCCTGTGCATACCTCCAGATGGACTGTGAATGCACCACAAGGGCCTTCAGATGCTGATGAATTTTGATGGTGCCCCCTCATCTTCATAGCTCAATTCAGCTCTGAAGGAATGGTTGCACCCTTGAAATGCTTCAGTGTCTGCAGGCTTTTGTAGCGTCTTCCCAGTCCATCTGGGCATTGATGAACCCTCTTTTTGACTTTCTGCATGTAGTGCCTATGGATCACCCCTATCTGAGGAAGGCAGCAAGGCTTAGTAAATACCTGAGATCTGAAGTTGTGTTGGTGGTCTGAAGATACCTGGACTAAAGAGTGTCCACTCTCAATATTGGTACCACACTTGAGCACAGAAGATTGTTTGTTGTTGTTTTTATTACAGTATGCATGCACTTTTGATAATAATACAGTCTTTTTTTTCTCTCTGCTTTAACGTGGAAGGTAGGGATAAAAAACATGTAATGCAGCAACACTATTAAAGTTACTTAGCTGTCTTAATGTCTTGGGTAACTTGAAAAATTTACCTTTTATCCCAGCATCCTAACCTTTATTTCTAACTTCCTTTAGTTGGTTGATGATGCTGCAGCACCCTTCTGCAACACACTATTGCCAACACTTGCGTCTGCTGCTTTGGAAGGCACTACAGGGTGATTCAGTGATCACACCAAGGCATGTGATTTCATCTTAGCTTGCTGTCAATTATAAGCCCTACTATATGCAAATCATGAAAGTAGGATGGGAAATATGGCTTACTGAGTAACTTGCAGGGCTTACAAATATTACAGTGAAGCGAATGATAAGCTTCACCTACCATTCCCTTAAGAGGGTAGCAGGATCCCAACATTGAACTTTGATTTGTAAACTTTTATGAATGTAAGAAAAACCCAGGACATAAGTTTACCTAGCACTGAACACTGCTAAGAGGCTGAAACATTTAGACAATCTGAAAACCACAAGCCTTTAGTTGTACTTTAAGTCTTATAATTATTATTTATCTATTGCAGGTACTTATATAGCACCATCAATTTACACAGTGCTTTACCCATTTATTATACATTCACATAAGTCCCCTGCCCTCAATGAGTTTACAATTTAATGTCCCTAACTCACATTCATAAATATACAAGGCCCAATGTAGGGGCCAATTAACCAGCTACCAACATTTCTTCGAAGTGTGGGAGGAAACCAGAGTACCCAGAGGAAACCCATGCAGGCACAAGGAGAACATGCAAACTCCATGCAGGTAGTGCCTTGGTTGAGATTCAGACCAATGACCCGAGTGTTGCCAGGCAAAAGTGCTTGCCACTGTACTGCCCAGTGCTCCTATACTAAACGTTATTATTTTAACATGAATTTTATGCCAATAAATAATGTTTTAGGAATAATATTTCAGTCAACCTATAATAGTGTTTGAATTGGGTCCATAATGAATCTTACCTACCTGCTGTAATAGTAGCTTCAACTTAGCAGACAGAACTTTGCCCACCACTTCTAATCAGCTTGCCTCATTGATGGTTCCAGCCTATCACAGTCTTGAGCCAACAGTAAGACACAGGGAGTACAAGGCAGCAGGACAAACATCCAACTTTCTTTTTTGGTACTCTGAAAAAGTTGAGGTTATCTACAAGCACCAGGGGCAGACTCACCATTTGGAAACTCGGGCACTGCCCAAGGGCCTGGGGTCAGTAGGGGGCCCCTTGAGATGCCCCTGGTACCTTTCAAAGGCTTTTTTGGGTGTGGTTTGAGTGTGGGCGAGGACACAGGGGCCCCATGATCCCCTGTTGCCCGGGGGCCCCATGAGTTGTCAGTCCGCCCCTGACAAGCACCAATAATGTCTGTTTTGCCATTAAACTGGCAGTATATTGAAGTACTTCTCTATACTACATGCACATCCTACATTTGTTTCCTTTAAAGACCTGGTAAGTACAGAAAAATACCTGTTGATCTATCAAAAATGTTCTCAGCTCTTAATTTCCTGTTGTAGACTGACAACACGCAGGTTTTTGTGGTGTGAAATTTACAAGATATAGTGGCAGCCTTCTCTAGATTTATTTTGCTAAACTAGGACACAGGACAGTTCTAAATTTCTGACATGATCAACCATTTTTTTTAATTTAGCAGATATAAAACCTTCTTTCAATGGTATATTTAAAAGAGTGAAAAGAATCAAATAAAATAAGTTAATTGTAAGGGTTTACATATATTTTAAAGTAAGATATATATTTTTCTGTTGTTGCTGTACTGTTTACAATACAATATATGATTTTATACGCATTGTAGTCTATCTTTTCCTGTAAGTAACTGTACAGTAAAAACCAATTACTCAGGAATAGCTTATTCAAATGCTGCACATAAATGAGTTGTTCATAAAGTAGTTGAGAATCTTCATACAATACATTAAGTGAATATTATATTTTAATGATCTAATCATGTGCAGATGAATTAAGTAAACATATATCTTTTTTAATATGACTGGATAATTAAAGTAAATATTTACACAATTTATTAAGAGAAGTTTCTGAACTCCTTCAGTAAATCAACCTCTGTGTGTTTGCTTATTGATTTAGTGAAAGGAGTAAAGCAATAAGTGTAATGCAGTACTCATACCATCCAAGCTGAATACATTTTGATGTCCTTTTATGAAACAGAGATCAGCGGTGATCCTGAGGATCGTTGCTGATCTCCAATCATTAGTGGTTTAGGAAACAGAGATGATCAGTGGAGAACATGTTCTCCGCTGATCATCTCAGCACACAGATGGCCAGTATGAAGGATTGATGTCAGCCCTTCACTGGCGATATGTGTTTTCTCCCTCCAGATTCTCCAGCTCAAAGCTGGAGAATCGGAGGAACCGCAAACTAAGCAGCAAAAATTTACCGCTGCTTAGTAAACGGTGTTTGACTGATCTCTTACTGTAATCTTGCGAGATTATAGTAAAAGCAGCCATTTTCCAGTGTTTGTAGATTGCTCCTCCCTTCAGTCGGAGAACTGATCTACACCACTTCATAAAAAGGCATTCACAGGAGAACTGTGTTCTCCGAGAATGCCAGAGAACTGAGCAGCGGTCATTTACCGCTGCATGATAAAAGGACACCTTTGTCCTGATCTGATGTCCGTGAATTCATATTGGTTGCTATAATTTACTGCAGTTTACTCTCAGTGCTTTGGCCGTTTCACTGTTCACTGACTAAGGTCATTAGTATATGCAGTGTTTACCGCTCATTGCATAGTATATGCTGTGACAGGTATCCTTCCTTCCTACCCAGGGCAACACAACAAAACCATTACAAATGTAGCAAAATGCATTGACCAAAGCAATGGAATCCCAGGAGATTCAAATCTCATATATCTATAAACTGTTGTTGCTGATCTGCAGTGTTCTAAAAGCCCTATTTTCAGTGCATCTAGATCTATTATCTACATTAGCCAATCTGAAAGTTTCATTTACTGTGCCATAAATGTAAAGTTCAAATAAAAGTGTTCACCTTGCTAGAATTACTGCATGAAGATACAGTATGCAAGGGGTAACATTTGCTTAGGGGTTTAGGAATAAAAAAAAAATACACGGGGAAAAGGTAGAAATGTGAAAATTACTATCTGTGTTATGGTCAATATCCACAAAATTCCCCTTTAAAAAAAAAAACAAACAAACAAAAAAAACATATCTAGGCGCATGGCTTGTAGACCATGTAAAAGTATACTTGGAACAAAACAAAGCAAATTGTGCCATCATATTATGAAAAGAAGCCTAAATTAAGTTACCAGTACACCAAAATGCTCAGAAGGAGCACATTTAGGGCTCCAGTGTTTAGCTGAGACTGTAGGGCACATGTGCACCACCCAGCCCTGCTGTTGACAGCCTGTAAAACTGTGTGATAGGCTGACAGCTGCTGTACCTGGACAGAGCTGGATGGTGAAATTAGTGGTATGAATGCTTAGGGCAGATTGCATTCCCAGCATTTGTCATTGGACGCATACTGCCATAAAAGTTCATACCGCTAGGTGCACCATCTAGTCCTGTCCACCCATAGCAGCTGTAAGCCTCTCATAGAGTTTTACAGACTGCAGGCAGTGGAGCTGGATATTGCACCTGTACCCTTCTGATGCAGCTAAACATCAAAGCCTCATGCAACAGGACTTAAAGCCCAGTGTGCATGAGGCCTAATAGTCACACGAAGAGAAGCAAAGATTTAGAGCCTTGCAGGAACACAGTCAGGCAGCAGTACAGACAATACAATAAAGACACAGGAATACAGAAACCAAAAGACATTCCATAAATAGTAAACATAAGCCAAAAAGATAAATCGCCACTCTCAATAATGACCACTTCTTACCCAAAAGTGTAAATAATAATTAAATATAAAAACAGATGATCTGCCACCTGTAGTGGAAGGAAAGGCAATTGCACAATCTATGGGCTGCTTAAAGTGATACTAAACCCAGGATCCTGCATTCACTATATCTGGTCTCCCCAAGTACCCAAAACATGGAAATGTAATTATTTTAGTAAATAGAAACTGCTAAATACCTTTTCTCATCAGTAGTTAGAGCAGTCTTGTGACTTCAGCAGAGCACTGGTAAAGCTTGTAGGAGTTTTCTTTCTGCTCTAGGAGGATGTGAAACACTTGACCCTCTGTCTGGACAGTGCTGATTGGCCCTGTACTGATCACATTATTATTATTATACAGTATTTATAAAGCGCCAACAGTTCTCTCAGCGCTGTACATTACAAAGGGAGACAGAACATGCGACAGTACAATAAGAATACAATGCGATACACGAGGGGTTCGAGGGCCCTGCTCTTTCGAGCTTACAATCTAGGAGGGAGGGGATAGTGGTACAGGAGGAGATAGCTGTGGGGGATGTAGTGGTAGGAAGAGTGGAGGAGGTTGGAAATTAGCAGGGGGTGGGGTAGGCTTCTCTGAAGAGGAGGGTTTTCAGGGTGCACCTGAAGGAGAGGAGAGTAGGTGATAGTCTGATGGGTTTGGGGCAGGGAGTTCCAGAGGATGGGTGAGACCCTGGGAAAATCCTGGAGGCGGGCATGGGAGGAGGAGACCAGGGAACTAGAAAGGAGGTCTTGTGAGGAGCGGAGTGTGCGTGTTGGGTGGTACTTGGATATTAGGTCGGTGATGTAATTTGGGCAGTATGCTGGACAGCTTTGTACATCAGTGTTAGGATTTTGAATTTGATCCGTTGGGCAATCGGAAGCCAGTGGAGGGATTGGCAGAGGGGGGTGGTGGAAACGGAGCGGTTGGTAAGGTGAATGAGTCTGGCTGCCGTATTCAGGATCGACTGAAGCGGGGATAGCCTGTGGTGAGGCAGGCCAGTGAGGAGGGAGTTGCAGTAATCGAGTCGTGATATGATGAGGGAGTGGATGAGCTGTTTAGTGGTTTTTCTGGGGTTAGGAACGTGCGTATTTTGGCGATGTTGCGGAGGTGGAGTCTGCATGAGTTTGTTAATGATTGGACTTAGGGCTGGAAGGATAGGTTGGAGTTCAGAATGACACCAAGTACTCTGGCCTGCAGGGCGGGCCTGATAGTGGCATTGTAGGACGTGATGGAGAAGTCAATGGGGGGTGGTGTGCGGGCTGGGGGGAAGACTAGGAACTCGGTTTTGGAGAGGTTCAGTTTAAGGAAGTGGAGCGACATCCAATCTGATATGTCATTCAGTAGGCTTGTGATTCGAGCGGAGACTGAGGGGGTGAGGCGAGGGGTTGAGAGATAGATTTGTGTGTCGTCATCATAGAGGTGGTAGTTGAAGCCGTGAGAGTGTATGGATTGGCCAAGGGAGGAGGTGTAGATGGAGAAGAGAAGGGGCCCAAGGACGGAGCCTTGAGGGACCCCAACAGAGAGGGGGGGAGTGAGGGGGAGGTGGTAGCATTATAGGTAACGCTGAAAGAGCGTTGTGATAGGTAGAATGAGAGCCAGGAGAGAGCGGAATCTCTGAGGCTGAGGGAGTGTAGTTTTTTTTGAGGAGGAAGGGGTGGTCGACTGTGTCGAAGGCCGCGGAGAGGTCAAAGAGTAGGAGCACTGTCCCAAGAAAAAAAAAAAACCTCTCTAGCAATACACACCAAATTTAGTATGTACATGTGACTAGGGATTCAGTCTGTATCAGGTGGTAATTTCAACAAAAGGAAGATCAGAGAAGAAACGATCAAACAGTCTTTTTACACAATGCAGAGGATTAACCCCTTAGGTTCCACAGTGAGTATACCAAGCATGCTTTACTGCATACACAGACTGATTTTACTGTTGTGGGTTTAGTAACACTTTAAGACAAGAAGTTGTAAAATAGACCTACAGGAAGTTTGGAAGATTGCTATAAATACATGGGTGGAAATCACAAGTGATGCTACATTTGGTCACCATACATATGCAGTGGAACCAGAACACAAACTTAGAAAGAGACTGGCTGTATGAACATAAACACGTCCAGATCCCCAAAATGATGTTGCAGAAGGCACGAACATGAAAAAAAGCAAAATATGCTTCTGAGTTTGATTTTTGTTTACACTATTTGGGGAGGAAGTGATGTCATTATTGGGATTGGTGCATTGTCTGATTGGTAACCTATGTCAGGAATGTCTTTTAGTATCTGTATTGTCATTACTGCCTGGTGAAGGATTTCTCTAAGGCTCTAAAATATTACTTCTCTTATTGTTACTATTAAATGTATTCCTGCCAAGTGTTTTGGAAAGATATCACTCATGATCATGCACTGCCTTGCACCTCTCTATTACATGAAGGGGCTCATACCTCTGTATTACATGCAGTGCCTTTTTTTCTTCTATTTCTTAAGTTCTGTAGGTGGTG